GTAAGTGTTTACCTGACCCCGGTAATCGCCGGAATGACTTCTCAGCTCCACACGCGGGCTCGCAGGCTACGATACTGTGCAAGCGTTTCTCGCACGAAGTGTGTCTTTGGTATCCTCCTAGTCGAATTAGCTGCCCCAATGTCCCCTCGCCTCCACAAGTTTCCGCAAGTTCTCTGTGGAGCAGCCAACCACAGGGCCTTCATTTGCGCCTCTTTTGCAGGAGCATCGATTCGATACCTGTTTAGCTGGGCTAGTCCCCTCGAACTAACGAGTCAGGCTCCTCTCATGTCCATATTCTGCGGATCACCTGCTCACCTTGTAACTTGGCGAGAGATTGGTCCTATACTTACAGATGGCCAGGGTCGCCAGTTGCTTTCGAGTAGCCTCTAGTAAGATGTTCTGGCCAGATGATGACATGCCACAAGTGCTCCCAGAGCATATGTTGATAGAGCGTCTCGCAACAGCCGTCTATCTGCCCTATCAGGGCCATGGCTGGCAGCCAATATGCAGTCATTAAGCGTGACGAATTGCACGTTTGACCTTTGGTCCGAGACGCCCAGGGATTACAGCCCGCAAGGTACCTGGCCGTTAGATATGTTGACATAGCCGGCATCTACGCCCAAAAGAGTTGTATCGCCCCATAAATCCGGTAACTCTCGGGTGTGAGGCTTCTCACCTCACAGGATTTGCTAGGACTAACGGAAATGATGCGCCAGGCTCGCCGCATATCGGAGAGTCGCCCTAACTCACAGCACACATTGGCATGCAGCATAGCATTAGCACCGCCATGAACCGCTAAGTAGCGGCGCATTCTTTAGGGGCACGGTTTGGTAATGAGGCATGAACCAGGGCTAGGCGCACGTCGTCGGTGGGCGACCCCAGACCTTTTAAAGCCTTTAATCCGCGCGGCCGAGCTCGATTGCCTCGAATCTCCGATGATATCGTGGGCTACATCACGCAACAGGAAGCCACCCCTGTAATTCGGCATGTCGTGATTCGCAGCTTCGAATTGCGGTTTCGACATGGAGAGGCTAGTCCATCGCAATCACGATTGCGAGTTGCAGGCATCCTGAGCACTACTCCTGCATCGTGTCCTGCTAAGCCCCAGGCTTCAGTCGAAATTGAACTGGTCCACACAGAGGTCCACCTCATAGACTAGACTGCATCGATAAAGGATTCAATGCCTTCACCAGCATCGCGACTCTGACTCTGAACACTGCCGAGGCATCCCCACAGCTTTCTTACATTGCAAAGATGAAATCAGGTCAGCGTAGGAATGACTTCGAAAAGATTGAATGATAGATAACCATGATCGCCTAGATCAGTGAGATGGGCCGCGTATCAACGTTGATACAGATGGGGGAAGCCCCGCCTACCCGCCATGGAGGCCGAGTAGTTTGTCCCCGCCTCCGCAATTCCCTCCAACTTCCCCGATCCAAGGTGGTGAGACCTCCGTCCTTTCCCGGGGGTCGGCTTGAGGAAGACTGCTATTGGTTCCCGCAAGTGCCCAATCCCACAAGGGCTGAGACTGGAAAGGGAAATCCTGTGCCCCAGCCTGCCTGGCGATCTTACGATTCTCATAGCATGGCCGGCACGGGCGTCAACACCGAGAATAAGATGCCGCGATATCTCCAGGCTGTCTTAGAAACAATCAGCCACTTCAGCATTCACAAGGAAAAAGAAAGCCTGAAGATGATTATGTCTAGGCCCTTCCCGCCAGCGTGGAACGGACAACTACCCCAGATTTCACTTGCGCATGGTCTCGCCCGGGGGTCTGCCTCCTGACGAATTAACATCACGCCAGATCATGACTGACAACTGAATCAAAAAGCATCTGATTCGATCTGGGATTCTAGGACGGAATAGGTGAACTAGTCGGAGGTCTGTCCATCGCGTGGGAAGAGCCGTGGTCAAGTCCCGTTTTCTCCAAATTCTCAGCCCAGCCTTTCTCCGCATTTGGGGATCTTATTTCCATCACGGAGATGCCCTCCTATCAGCCACGAGAGGAAGATCTCGCTTGGCGTGTAGAATCATGAGATTCGAGTGATGTAGTCCATGACACTGTCTTGCTGATGTTATCGGCTTCAGCGACACCACTAGATATGGAATTACAACCCTATTACGTCCAAGGACAGGATTGGCCGTCCGGTTTCTGACACTGGTATTCAAAAGGGGTGTCGTAAGAGACTGCATGGTGTCGCAAAGTATATACTACATATAGACTAATTCCACGTGAGGAGTGAAGAGCATTTGTCCAGCACGGTCATGATGAACATCCATGACAGATCCATTATGCAGTGAAACTCTAGAATTATCCAAGTAAGCACCAGCAAGGATCGAGGTCGTTTCTTCTCAATGGGGAAAGGTTGTTGCAATATATGTTGGGACTGAATGGTTAGGTGCGTTTTGTGTCGCGGCTATCATCGCAAGCAATTTTGATAAGGTGGCCGAAGTTCGCCTAACTTCGGCCTCCTAAATATGGTGCCTTACCAGATTTCAAGTACCCACGATCGACAACATCAGTAGCGCTCTGAAAGCCGGAAGTAACTAGACAACTTCAAGCAGTTAACTCATCTCACAGGTGAAGAAGTTCAACGGTCGACTACTGTATACTTGCATCAAGGGGAGACCATAAGCTAAAATGTATGATAATCGAAGACGAGACGCAAGATGCATAGAATATTGGCATTATAGTATTGACTTGTGCAGGAGATAAGCTCCACTGTACGCATTAGGTATTTTCCATTCTTCTCCCTTGTCTTCTTTTGAAATCATCCCAACTATTTCCCTTGAAAGCAGCCGATGGCTATGTCCCTGGTATAATCACCACAATGAATCCTATATACTGGTATCCCCCCAAATCCATGCTATGCAGCATAACGAAATCTAAAGTCCCTCGTCATCAGATATGTACAAACGTGACCGTAAATGTAGCCTAATCCCCAATATTCCCATCCTTCGCCTAATACCCCCGTCGCTTAGACTGTGCCTTATAGTAGACGCTCAGCCTGTTGCCCGCGCCGCAATACTCGTTCGAGTTCGCCGCGCACGTCATGCTGCAATCCGACGGGGGCGCGTTCACCGAGCCGGCGCCGAAGGTGTTGCCGCAGTAGCACTCGCGTGCGTACTCGACGCCAAAGTAGTCAAAGCCGTCGCAGAAGCTCGCGCAGCTCTCGAGCGTCATGGTGTCGGCCGCATAGCTGACGCTGCTGAGCGCGCGGCCGGTGGTGGCTTCGGTCTGGCAGCCGTACCATGTCCAAGCGGTGCCGACGTTGCTTGGCTGCGTGGGGCCAGTGCTTGTCGATGCATTGTTGACATACAGCTCTAGTCGGTTACCCGCACCACAGTACTCAAGGGGATTGCCCGAGCATGTCATCGAACAATCGGCGAGAGGAGCAGCCGCAGATGAGCTGGACAGTGTGTTGCCACAGTAGCACTCCTGGCCGTACTCGGTACCGAAGTACTTGAAGTTGCTGCAGAAGGCGGCGCAGGACTCGAGCGTCATGGCTGTGTTGTTGGTATACGCGGCACCAGCCAGAGCACGCGAGCCAGTACCTTCTGTCCAGCACCCAACAAAGCTGTAGGGGCTGATAGTGGGCCGATGAGCCAGGGTCGTGACCGTGCTAGAGGAGGAAGATGTCTTAGTCGAGCTCACCGGCACCGAACTTGATGTTGTGGTTGGTGGCCGAGTGCTTGACGTAGATGAGATCACAGAGGATGTCGTCGAGCTCAGCTTGCTGGATGATGGGGCCGCGCTGCTGCTAGATATAAGAGTTGAGCTAGATGTTGTCGAGCTCGGCTTGCTCAACGAAGGAGCTACGCTGCTGCTGCTGCTTGTTATAGGAGCTGAGCTAGAGGTCGATGAGCTTATGCCCCGGGAACTGAGACCACCAGTGCTTGATGAAGACGAGACAGCAGCAACGGAATAGAGCTCAAGGCGGTTGCCTGCTCCGCAATACTGTAAGGGGCTGCCGGCACAAATCATGTTGCAATCGGCGACGGGAGCAGAGGCGCTTGAAGCAGCAAGAGTGTCGCCACAATAGCCTTGAATGCCGAAGTCAGTACTGAGTCAAATAGGTTAGGTGAAGGGACGGAAACATACATTCACGGCCATACTCGGTTCCGAAGTACTTGTAGGCCGAGCAGAACGCAGCACAAGACTCCAAGGTCATGGCATCATCCGCATACGTGCTCGCGGAAAGAGCTCGCACGCCTGTTCCCTCTGTCCAGCATCCGACGAAGGAATACTTTCCGATGATGGGCTTGATACCCAGTGTGCCTGTGGGAGCAGCGGATGTCGAGGTCGAAGTTGAAGAGGATACAATTGTGGATGTTGAGGTACCTACAGTTGACGAGACTGATGAAGAGATAGGCTTCGATGTTGACGAAGACGCAACGGTAGAAGATGTCGACGTAGCTAGAGTTGACGAAGACGCAACAGTTGAAGATGTCGAAGAGGGCAAGGAAGCCGTTGACGTGAGATATAGCTCAAGGCGATTGCCCGCGCCACAGTACTCGAGGGGATTGCCACCGCAGACCATATTGCAATCAGCCAAGGGTGCAGATGAACTACTGCTGGCGAGTGTGTTGCCGCAGTAGCATTCACGTCCATACTCGGTACCCCAGTATGCGAACCCGGTGCAGTTGCTCATGCAGGTTTCCAAAGTCATACCGTCATAGGCGAATGCAGCACCGGATAGAGCTCGTACGCCAGTTCCCTCAGTCCAGCAGGACACCAAGTTGTATCCTCCGATCTTCGACTTGTGCTCAAGCGTAGCGGTTGGAGCAATACTGCTAGTCGTTGTGACGGTGGCAAGAGTTGAAGATGGGATTACCGAGCTGACCGTAACAGATCCACAGGCGGCGCTTCCAGAGTAGGTGGCACAGGTACCAGCCAAATCGGAGGCGGCCTTGAATGAATCAGAGACAACATCGGTGCCGCTACCGCTTACAATATCCAGCTTGGCTAGAGAGCTCATGCCTCCAGTGATCGTGTAGCTAGTGCTATAGAAGGTGTAAGCACCTACACAGTTGCCCTTGGTCAGGGCGATGCTCGCGGTGTTGAGCTTGGGAGCCGCGATGCCCGTTCGTGCCGTTTTGTAGGTGACAGTCACGTTCACTGGCAGCGACGTGCGGTCGTTGCGAACCAAGGCCGAAACAGTGAGAGCGCCGGTTCCCTGAAGAAGACAACTCTGTGGCTTTTGGATGAAGACAGCATCAGATATCGGATAGGAGTTTCCATTGTTGTCATAAGTCTGGGTGGTGCCATCCGCAAGAGTGACGGTGACAGTGAACGATGAAATACCGGTTGCCGTTGGGATGCTGGTGGAGATTGGGAAGAACTCAAAGCTATCATCGAAACCCCGTGTCGTGCCAGTGACAATGGCTGTGGTACTGCAGCTTCCACCGCAACTGCTAGCGCCGTTCCGGTTCTTATAAGTCAACGTGACGGTCGAGATCGCTTGGGTCAATGTTGTCGTTCGAACACGAATGTAACCGGTCAGTAGCATTGTTGAGCCTCCAGTGTTCAAGGTGAGTTGCATATTGACAGGCTTGACGGTATATGGCGTGATAGCGGCAGACAGAGTAACGCCGGACGGGACAATGTCGATCATTCTTTGGAAAAGGGTGCCACAGGTACTCTTGAAGACAGCGGCATCTCTCAAGCCTTGCATTGTGGCATTGTTGTCAGAATTGAAGACAACAAAATCAGAGTTCTGCTTAAGGGCAACAGACGGCCCTACAACAAGAGGGTTCTTAGTCGTTCCATCGAGATACTCCGTGACAACGTTATTGTCAAAGGCTCCGGGAGTAGTGTCCAGGGCGGCTTCGTCATTTGTTGCAGAACCGGGGGGCACCAGAGCTGGAAACTCTGGGGAGTGAACTCCGCCCAGTGTGTGACCACAAGCGGTAAGCTGAATCATCTCTGTCTGAGTGAAACCCATTCGGGAAAACTGCGAGATGAAAATGCTGATAGCATTCTGTGGCTGGGGGACGCCCGGGCTACCCGCTGATGTTGCATCGATTCGTCCACCCTTGATGGGGATAATTGGTCCACCACAAGACCGTACCGACGCATATGTTCCCAGAGCAATTAGATCTGACATGCTACTCCTGGACGAGAGGTAGTTCGCGTAAGTTTGCAGAGTCGTGTTATGACCTGGTCCGGTATTCTCTCCATTGTTCAACTCGAACATCAAAGAACTATCGATGCCACCAAGGCCGAAGTATGGGTTGGCAGTTGCCATATCATGGAAGGCAACGCGAAGCCACTCAGCGGCATTCTGTCGACCCGGTCCTGATGCCTCCTTCGTACACGGGGTTACGTTATCGGCGAAGAGTCGAGCATTGAATCCGTACAACTGGTACATTATCTCCTCCAGTTCGTCCGTTGAGGCCGGCCATGTTACGTCTGAGACGACAGTCGCCGTCAGGGACAACAGGCCGGCGAGGAGAGAGAGGTTGGCGCGCATGATGTCTGATCTATCCACGCGTAACCACTGCCCAATACTAGAATTAAAACATTAAGAAAGCGTATATGAAAGGATATAAGAACGAATGTGGCGTCAGCTCGAGTAACCTCGAAGCTCGACTTTCGATAAAGAAGCCACCCAGTGGGGGGTTGTTTGCAGCGAGCGCAGTTGCAAGGCAAGAAGCGAGAAAAGGAAGCAGGAAAGATGAGGCTCCCCGGGAAGAGGGAGTATTACATAGCGTCGATATTACCTACCGCATTGCCGTCGTAGCCTTCGGCTTTGGAGTCGTACTGGGCAGCTCGTGCAGCTCCTCTCGGCATGGCCAGCAGAGTGAGAGGTGAGCCTGAGCCTGAGCACCCCTGGCCTGGACCCCTGTCCTTCGTATTCTTGCAGGGTTGGATGCATGGCGGTGGGGGAAATTGGGTCGAGGACGCCAAGGACTTGCCGAGGGATCTTGGGAATACGGCCCTTCTGAATGGCTAGGCCCAGGCGATAACCTCCAGCCGCATGGCCCTAAGAATACCCCTAATGCAAGAGAAGCGAATAAATAAAATTTTAGATTGCTCTAGCCATACTTTTCTGCCTGTCTCTTCGTGATCTCGCCGTAGCGCTTTATCACAGTTGAAAAGACGTTGAAGTGCGGGCGCGCTGACATTGTCTGTGTCGCGACTTCAAATAAGCAATCATAGATCTAATCCAGCGATAGCCATCTGGGAAGCTCACAGCGATGGAGATCAGTGTCTGTCAATTATGAGGTGGTAGAGAGTGTCGTGTGCTCGAGATGTTTGAGCCCTATTTCGGCAGCAAGCCCCGTTGGAGAAGACCCTTTCCGCTCGGAAGCCAGCACAACAGTCCCCCGCGCGTACTAGAAGCAGGGGTAGATTAAACCGCCATTTGTCGACCCGAGCTGACGGCGCAGGCCGCTTGAGCACTTTCGATCAGGCGATTTTAGCTGTGTGGATCACCAACGAGCCTATTTAGTTGTAGTTGGAGGTCCAGCCGACAATAAAGCTCCGCTGCAAGGCACTATCCGCTCTGTGGCAATGCTGAAAGGAGAATCGCATAGTAATAAGAGCTCGCTGGCAAGCGGTCCAAATGGAGCTCAGGCAACATCTCCGTGTTGTCGCCAGACGGTTCGCCATGATTCGAGAAAAGCATTGTTTTCCCCAGATTCTGTCACAAAAGCCACCCGTACGTAATACGAAATGATCTTATCATCGGGTCATCTGAGCGTCCTGCAAAGGTCAGCAAAATGCGCAAATTGCAGGGAAATCCAGGCGATGCTGGCTGGCGCCGTGGCGGCGTGCGGGCTTGCCATCGAAGCGGAACTATTGTTTTGCCAGGCGTGAACGCCCCTCCAAACCCAGGGGCTAGACAAACGACAAAACGGTATGGTTTGCTGGCCACTTGCGCGCTGAGTCAATAGTCAAGGACCTAGGCGTTGAGAAAGGCTGCTCCTGACTGGTCGCACACAGTCCAAGCGGATAAGGATGTGCGTTTACCTTGGACTGTGGCTCGTGTGGTAAGGCTTGCGCGCGCACAGGAGCTCGTGTTCACCGGCCAAGGTGCAGCCATCATGCCGTCTTATCCATCCGTATGCTCCCTCCTCCGCCAACACCACTGCCACTGCGCGCGGGACAGGAGCTCTTGCGTCCACAGGTGGAGGACTCCTACGCTGTGCTGACTGCGGCAAAAGCCGCATCACTAGTCGTCCTGCTCATGCCATGCAGAAAATGCTGACAACTGCATCGGCCTTGCTGCAGGTGTTATGTTGTTGCGAGGCTCCTTCTGCCTATCTTCCAATCAACATGGTCGCATATCGTCAGGTCGGCATTCAATAGTCGCGTTTTCATTGTCCAAAATAGCAATTGGACCGCCGTGGCAGACCATCGGAGTGGGCTGCACTTATGTTGCAATTAATCTTGCTGACGTGTGCCTGCCTTTCGATGAGAAGAAAACATGGTAGTAGTTCAACTGCATACGTCGTAAGGCTTACGGCAGCTCTTCAAAGACAGACCTGCCTCGATTCAGGCACTATCAAGGTGGATTACTCGCTAACCTGGATGTGTGGCTCAATCACGCCTCCCTATCAATGTTGCATCCCACCCGGACTAGCGAATGCAAGAGGGCCAGCCTCCCGGAGTCCCGGCAGTCCAATGCGGGAGATCTACGGGATGCGAAGTGCCAAGCCCGCATCCGAATACCTCGTCCGGACGACCGCCCTTCAAACGAAGGATCAAGTTAATGCTTTCTGTGCCGGCATCATTCTATCTCAAGAACAGTGCAAACTGAAGTTCATTATTCCAGTGGGAAGGCCTCAGGCACCCTTAAAAGTAGAATCGACGCGGCCAGTCAATCCGCCCTGGGAGAATCGAATCTTAGAACTAGGCCTTGAGTAGATATCTCCTTGTTGGTCCGAGTTGCACTTACACATTGAGAATCATGATGAAAAAAAGCCGATACTAGGCATTAAGAAGAGACTGGGTCCTTGCAAGAAAGATAAGCCATATTTTAGAGCAATGTTGTATTTAAGTCAAGGAAGGATTCAAAGTGATTAATGAGAATGATAGCCAAAAAAATATATCGTCAAATACACCCTAGCTGAGAATCGAACTCAGGGCTCGGCTTACAGTTTTGATGAGAGAGCCGCATGTTAACCATTACACCACTAGGATTTTGTTGCGCAGGAAGCTTCTTGTTTTTCTTTTCAGGAAGGGGAAGGAGGTTGATGTCGCTCGCTGTTGGGCGTGGCTACCCCTTTTGGTCGGTCAAGCCGTTTGCTGTTCCGAGACAGTTCTACAAGGCAGCATCACGTTTGAGCCCCCACACTCTAAACTCACTACCAACTACGAGTCACCGTTCATCTGTCGGTTTTGGGATGGCTGACAATAGCTGGCAGGCCTGATAAAAGGCAATTTTTAGTTCTAAGCAGTACTCATTGTTGAGACGCCACTTCTCACTTTGGTGGACATGGAGAAATCTTAAATTGAATGCGGTGACAATGGTACCCTCGCTAGCCCATCGAGAGACATGATATGACTGTCTCCTCATGGCGTCAAGCCGACTGGGTGAGAAAGATGGTTAGTAGAAATAGATATTGGCCGATATGGTTGGAATACATGACACAGTGATGCCACTCATGGAGTACAATTAGTTCAATTTTGAAACGAAATAGCGCCAGAAAAGGTAGTGGGTGTCTCTGGTCTCAAGCAACGATGGTGCTTTACCCGTTAATATACCAGCTGATGCCATCAACTCCACTTAGGCCTCAGCACGGATTGACTTAAGAGACATGCCTTTCTCAGAAACGGCGAGATCATATGTTGTTTTTGTTCAGATGTTATCATTTTGAATCTGGCATTCAGGCCGCTTGTAGCCTACCTTCCGAATTTCATCCCCCAAGAGACTTAAGACGCATTCTATAAACAGGAGCCAATACAGCTAGTATCGATTGTGATACTTGTTGCTTGCAATGTACGGTTTGTATGCCTTCTGATTCAAAATCCAGATAAATTGGCAGTAGGCACAGCTTTTCTACCGTAGCTAGAGTACAGCAAGCTTAAATAACCCCCAAAAGAGGCACTGGACTAAGGAAGTGTCTAAAATTTGCATCTCAAGGCCGGCATAGCACCGCACAAAGACCAGAAGAAATAACAGTCTGTTCAGTCGCTGAAGATCTGCCAGGTGTTGCGTTTCGGTGGATAGACAGTATACTGGGTCCAGAGAGAGACAGCAACTAAATATGCCATCGCTTTTGATATCCTGTGTCCCCTGCAGTTACGGTCATGGGAGTACCTCAATGCTGTCTACGAAATGATCGCTAAGTTGAAACCGACTCATCCCTTTACGCTGACTGAGCCAGGATCAAGTCAGCTGGCTCTTCGCGAAAGCCCCTGACTAGCAACGCCGTGGCTGAGATGGTCAAGGTCTCGGGTATCATAGGTGCTCGGTAACACATAGACGGACTGGGGAACCGAAATTTTTTTGGCACCTAAACACGCGGCAATATGAGAATACTCCAGAATGATCAAGTCATGGGGCACACTGCATAACCGGCAAGTCTAGAGTAAACCGCAGAGCAAATAGCGTGTCGCTCTAGAGGCCTCGATGGAGAGCTACCTGCGGAACCGACCGACCATCGTGCGCTAGTAGGACCGAGCGTGTGGTTCTGGCTTCAAGATCGAGATTGACCATCCCCGTGAGGATTGTTAAGGACACCAAGTGGAAGACAGTAAACATAAGCTTAGGGCCTATGGACGGGGTTGGTAATTGCCGAGGTATATACGAGCCACGGCGCTCATTGCGGCTCGGGTACATCACCAACATACAACATGGCCGGGCGGGAGATATTAGACAGCCTATCGATAAGTCTCGGGCGTTTCCCGGGACGGCAATTCGATCCAGAGGGGAATGTTCGCACGGCCATCCTATTGCTACAATTGTCCATGCCTGTGCGTTGGGCTCAGGTCGTCGCGGCTTGACGGGCCTGACCGGCAACATCTACGCCTGCTCTAACGGCGGCGTTACATATCAGCCTCATCGGAATTTAGGAATAGCATGTGTTGAAAATCGTCATCCAGTAGCTCATCAATGTGGTTCAATGCAGGCAGACAGGACAGGCTAAACCGAAGATATCATAGTGCCCGGACAGGAAGCTCCGGCGGGGCAAATCTGCAGGCAAGATACGGATGGGAATTTGAGTCGCCGATTGAACAATGATGACATGCTGGACAAGTGCTTGCCCATCATCTGACCGTTTTAGCAATCACGATGTGAGCAAGGGGGCAGTTAAGGACACCTGTTTGGCTCTTTCCCTTACCATTATGCGCTAGGTCTACATGGCTGCCGCTATACGCCAAAGCTACCCCACGATCCCACACTTAATTCTGAGTGGTGATCTCATCGGCCCCGCTTTCGTCATATCGCAGCTGGGAGGCGATAAAGAGTCTAGAATTCAATAAGCAACCCAAGCCGAGCCAAGCCTGCACAGCTCTCAGGGGAGATGCCTAGTGGCTGGAGAGGATGTCAATGATTGCGCAAGCCACTCCTGGAAAAGTGATCTGCTATCTAGGAGTTTGTGGCATGTGAAATGACCTCAAGTTTGGCTAAAAAGGCAATGAGCTTGGACAGCTTTGCACAGAGGCGGTCACTAGCAGAGTAGTGTGGGTTTTCCGCGCAATATTGCTAACATCCGGTCTCGTCGGGTGCAAACTGTTGCATGGCCAATGAAGCTTGCCCCCCTTTAACCTGGGCCGGCACAAGCCACAAGGTTGATTTGGAACTTCCATACTTCGTTTTAGACTGTGGCACGCGTGGGTAGATGCCTTCAAGCAAAGGTCTGGCCTTAGTTCTATGGGCCCACGGTAGGTCCTTCCCCTTGAGCTACGTTCTGAAGCTACGTCATCCATCGACCCGGGTCCTTTGTAAGTGAGCGCTTGCCCAATCACGAGCGCTAGGCCAGCGTGAAACCCGCGAAGGTACCTCCTGCCACCATCCGCGTGGGAGCTTAAGGCAATGACGTCGTTTGCTGTTTCCCTACCAGTAACTGCCTCGCCGTGAGCAAACGACACCTCCTGTCAGTGTGCCTGCCTGAATTAGATGGCTTGCCTACCTCATCCGAGCTACCAGCTGCATATATAAACCTCCAGTCCCCCAAGCCATCAACGAATTTTCCCTTCTCTCATCATCACACAATTCCTCAAGCCCTCAACCACAAAACAACTAAACAAATCTTCACCACAACCAACCCAAACAATCATCATGGATACCATCAAGCAGGCCGGCAACTACGTCTCTGACAAGGTTCAGAGTATGTTTTCCCCTCCGTCAAGCTCCCTCGTCACCACACCAGGCCGCTAACATTCTTCATCAGGTGCCACCCACGGTGCTTCCAAGGAGGCCAACAAGGAGACCGCTAAGGACTCCAACGCCCCCGTCGGCACTCGGTAAGATTTTGTTCACGACCTCTATTGTGACACGCATTGCTAACGATTTTTCTCAGCGCTGAGGCAGGCTACGACGCCCTCAAGGACAAGTCCAAGGAGCACTCCCACGACGCTCAGGCTGAGGCCAACAAGCAGGCTGCTACCCACTAAGCAGCTTGACACTTCAACACGTCTACAATAACTCAGGATCCCAACGCCATGGGTGTTCCGGACGATTTGCTTTGGTCGACGGATGGATTTTGAGCTGGACTGATGATGGACACAATACCCCCTTAACGTCCACAGTAGCTTAGAGCAATGGAAACATATTGCTAAACAATGTTTGCCTACTCCGTGAATTAGTGCTGTGCTGTGCATGAATTAGTGCTGTGCTGTGCATGATAAGTAAAGTCACATTCATCGCAACTAGAAGTAGAATGGTTGGTCGAATTGTCGCATTGGCGGCATTCTTTGCCTCACATTAACTGATTGATATCAATACGAATTCGACATTCTTATCAACAGCTCAGACATTGATTCCCGGTTTTCTACTTTTTTTTTATTCCCAAGTTGTTCAGCGCAAACTCCTAGAAGCATTGGAAGTAAACAGCCTGAGATGGATAACGCACAGACCCCATGTTAGTTGACATCGGGCAATTTCGAGCTATCCCCGCAACAACGCAGGTTAAAAGACAGGGGTCGATGAATGTCCAGAATGCGACAGGTTCGCATCCCGACTTTTCCCCCTTCCAAACACAAGTGAGTCCCTGTGATTGACTTTATACTCAGTTCATCGCGAACGACAAACTGACAATGGCGAATACCACGGTCTCCACGCTCCCTCCCGATCTGTTTGACCAGACTACCCTCATTTCTCTTGCTTCAACCGTCGCGATTCTCGCCGTCGCCTACGGAGCATCACTCAAGGCTCTGTCTTCTTCGACCTCGGGAAGCTTGCGTTTCCTTTTCATTTGGCATGCATTCGACGCATTAACCCACTTCATCCTCGAAGGCAGCTTCCTCTACCACTGCTTCTTCTCGTGGCTGCCCGTGGGCGAGGTGACGCTCAAGGAGCTGCAGGACCAGAAGTACTACAATACTCCGCACGGCTTCTTAGGCCACTCAGACCGCATTTACGGTTCCCAAGCAGGCGGTGAAAACCCCTTTGCGCAGCTATGGATGGTTTACGCGAGAGCGGACAAGCGCTGGGCAGGCGTTGATCTTGTAAGTCTGACGTACTACGAATGGTGACACCCGCGACGGAAAGCTTACGCAACTTGTGTACAGGGCGTCGTCAGCCTCGAGCTACTCACAGTTTTTATCATCGGGCCCTTGGCGTGCCTTGTGTGCTACGATATTGCGAAGAAAAACCCTCGCGCGAACATCGTCATGACGATGATTGCAACGGCCGAGCTATACGGTGGATTCATGACGTTCTGCCCTGAGTGGCTTACGGGCAACCAATATCTCGATACGAGCAACTTTATGTACAAATGGGTGTACCTGATCTTCTTCAACGTACTCTGGGTGTTCATCCCCATATATGCCCTCTATGTCGCCTCTGGCGAGATCATGGATGCCTTCAAGGTCAAGAGCGCAGGTCAGAAGAGCAAGAAGACGAAATAGATGGACTGGACAAGGTCAAGCAACAGCTGCGGATTGTCTCACGTTGCCAGTCAACTTACCTAAACGGTAGCACGTTGCGGGAGCGAATTTTTTGTTCTTGATGGTTCATTTTCAAGCCTATCGATGATTGCTTGGTGCAGCGGACACTCAAGCTATTCTTTGGTGGAATAGATCTTCCTCTTGTCGTCTGCGGCATAAATGATTCCAACAATCTAGTGGAAAGCCTGTGGACTTGATACAGCATATAGGTTCTAATGTAATATTCTAGGTCCTCGTGTACTCTCACTGACTCCATACCGCTGTGTCCTCATCACCTTCACAGCTGCGCTGCTCTAACACGTTGAAATTCGCATTTTCTGCGCTTACCGCAGCCACCTGACCCCAATGCTGTTAGCCCAATCCCAAACAGAGCCAATGCGGCCTCCTTCATCTACACAAAACAGCTACGACAATGTTTCCATGACTTTTGTTGAGCTTAATTAAAGGCCTATATCTTGATAAACATTTAGGTGTCATCTTGTTCAGCCACGGAGGCGTGCGCAAAGTGCGAAACGAAACAGGGTTTCTTGAAACGCAGTTGTGGCTAAGCCCTTGGCCTATTGCATCGCGAACATCTATGGAGAGGTGTAGAACGGGAAACACGGAGCACATTTGCGCAGTAAAGGCAATATGAATATAACGTCAAATATCGTGAAGAATGTCAAGGGTGCGTTTACAAGGGAGGATCAAGATTGGAGGGAGGTGGCTGAAGGAGGGGTTTGCTTGGGTGGCCATCCTAGTTTACCTGCGAGGCGTGATGCGCTGCTCGACGTTCTAGGATAGTGACAATAAGACAAAACAAATATAACGAGAGAAGTCCCATCACTAGATACCGGTTAATGAAGGAAGGAGATTTCATCGGTCTCGAGTGATCTGTCTCTAGGGGTATGTCCTCCGAAGATGCTCAGAACAGGATTGGCTATCTATATGGCGAGATGATCAACACTGAAATGGCTTCGATGCTTCTTGCAATAGCCACGGAGGTGACTTTTCAGATGAATTAAGTCTTTGGCGGCGATAAAAAAAAAACAGCAAGGCAAGCGATTATGAAACCTAGACCTCCTGTCTAGTATTAAGCGTCATCATCAGGGCAGACAAGTCGGGTATTTTCTGGTGTTCTTTGACAGCGGAAGTGTTTGATATAGATTGACTACGGAAACTAAAAGACGGTTGACCATGGTGCTGGATACATCCGAGACGCCGAGCGGGGAGTTTGGAAGGTCAACTCACGCAGAGCTCGCATCTCTTGGATATTCTAGCGTACCGTTGCGGAGTGGCCCACCTGTCCCCGGAACGGAAAGGATGTGCTTCCAATTGAAATGGGACATAACGAGATGAAGAGGTCGCTCGCGTTCATGCTCAGCGATGGTCAGGCATGGATATTGGATGAAGCTGCTCGGATGGATGGACGACGAAGTGGGATGGAAGGGCAGCACCATCAGGGTTGGGAACCGGACAAGATATCGCTTCTAGCTTAGCCTGCTTCCATGGCAAGACATGTCCTAGGAAAGTTTAAATGACAAATACTTCTCAGGCTCGAATGTGGCTGTCAAGGACCTCCCTTCTTATCTCGGAAAGATCTTCTTCCTGCATTACCGTGCTGTGGAGGGTGAGCTTGAGTGGGGCAGCCTGCGCTCGCATCCATTACGCTCGCGAGGGGTTTACCTTGGACATTATTCCAGGATGTAATGTCCATCTAGTGCATATGACAAGAGGCAGATTAGCAAGAAAAATTTAATGGATAAGGGCTGTGAAAGCAATTGTTAGAGTGAAAGGTGGAAGCGGAGTTAGGATATGTCTAGTAGATTTGAGTTGAGAGATGTTCCTACGTACTACTCGCATGGCCATAAATTTGGTCTTGTAGGTTCGTCAGCGAGTGTGATCTTCCATGACTTGTTCTCGAAATAGTACGGCTATTCCCATCGGGCCTTTGAAGCGACCGTTGGCCTCGACCGCCCGCTTCTTGTTCCCTTGAAGCTCGATAGATCATGGATTGTTGCTCGTGTCTACAAGGACCCCTGCACCGGCTGAGCGAAAATCGCCCGCGCGATACAGACCTTGCGTCAGGAGTGCAGATTATTTTGAAGGGACGAACTTGGTGGTGCAGGGGTTGCCAATCCAGACCCTGCTGATAGAATAGAGAGGGAGCCTATCATTACCTCAACCAGAAGATAATGTGGTGAGTAAAATTCTGTAGCAACTTCAAGATAGAACTTTGTTTGCCCAGTAGCGAAGTCATGGGGACTGTTTCACATAATGTCTTGGTGCAGATTACGTATCCATGCTGAAGGTCATAGAGCTGTAGTCGAAACATCCTCGTAGCATGGTCATAGTTGCACAGAGGGGCAACATAGTGTGCAGTTCTACAAGAAGAAGCAGGCTCAGAAGCCATTGGAACGGTATCGGAGTTTTCTTCATTCAAAGGGATTATCTCGAGCTCTGCCCATGCCGCTCTGTCTTGAATAGCATGATCAAGCCTGAAGGACGGCTCATGATCGCCAACTGCCTGAATAAAAAGACGGCAGAGGGATGTAGGATGAAGCAAAAACATCATCATGATATCTGGACCTGCAAACCGGTACCATTGGAATGAGTGTTAACACGGAAGAGGTGTGCAGGCGGACATCCCGCCACCAGTGTGAGTGAGAGACTGCAGGGTTCCAAGGTTGGCTTGATTGATGTCTGGCATTGCACGGTGGGTTTGAGATGCGGCAGGGGATAGTTGCCGCTAAGCCGTGATGGGCAAGGTGCGGCTGTCTTGACTGCTCAAATTCAACGTCCACCCAGTTTCTGGCAGGGGCTTAGCGAGCGGGACGAAACCCAGGCGTGTTACAAGATTGCCTCAACCTCATCTCCTCGACAATGCCCCCCCAAAATTTTGCTTAATCCACCTAGAGTGCCGGATCAATGCCATTCCAGTCTGTAGTCAGCATCTCATGCCCTCGCAGCACTTCTCACTCGTGTCACTTCGCCCATTGTTCCTCTGCTGAGCGACCAATGGCGGACGTACCGGCCGAGCGTTCGCCAAGGACCTCACTATGCCTTCACCCTAGAGACCCTCGACGTATCTGGCATGGGCCTCATGATTGTAGATTTGATGCCGCTCTATGACCATCCAGGTGTCCTCCACCACAGACCACTGGTGATGTGCAGGCCATTGGCCAATGAGGACGCCACTGCTTCATCTGGCCTCCCTTTGGCCTGCTACCCTGCTAGTTCTCCGCTTACAATCTACCATTATCGACGCCCAGGTCCTGCAGGCCCTGATGATTCGGGCCCTGGACCCAGGCCGGCTTTCAGATGTCCGCGCGGGGGCCGCCCGTCCCAAGTGGCCATCGACGGATGGACCAGGATCATGTAGCTCTCTTGCTTGCCTCTCGTCTCATGGAATCCTTGCCATTGGCCTCTTTTTCTGGAATGGTCTTGCAATCTGGTGTGGATACTTTCTCGTGCAACCCACCCCATCTTGCCGTTACCTCCCTCGTTTCTATCTTGTAGTACAGGCTCGTTCCCAGTGCTAGGCTCAGGGACTGTTTCGTCTGGTCCGTGGTTCGCCATTGTGGGTGTAGTGCCTCCATCCTTGTCTGCCGACCTAGCCTAGTTGCTAGACATACTCTCTTCTTCCTTCCTTCCTGCACCTACGCTCTCTTTCTTCCATCCCTCATTGACGAAGGTGTCACGAAATCGCCACGAGCTGTTTAGATGACTTAGCCAACAAACCAAGAGCACCGCTTGGCTCATCGCCATCGCTCGTCTCGTCGAACGTTAACCAATGACAGAGGAGTTGGGAGACTACACGATGAGCAGCTTTGGAGGGTTCGGTGCGACGGAGCCTGAGGGCCAGTCGTGGTCGCCAGCAAATGGAACAACCGGGGTGTACCAAGCCGGTTCGAACTCGACGACTTCGGCGATGTTCTTCAACGAGCTCAGATTTGCGGCGGCGAAGTCGATCAGGACGTCAACAATAATACTGGCGACCTTCAATGCGATTGCCGCATTCGCGACGGCTCTGGGGATTCTATATCAATGTTACTCATCCAAGAGGAGGAATAGCAGGAACTTTTCTTTCAAGTAAGATTTACGCATCCGTCGAGAAGGTATCATTTGGCCATATCTATTGACACAATACAGACGAAATGGGTTTTCTTTCGTACAGACAGCTGAGGTGTTCCCTCTCATGCTGTCTTTGGGTATTACCGTCCAAGGCATCATATTTGCCGTTGCACAGTCAACAGGCCTGGATAACCTGCTGAGCAGGGGATGCACTTTAGTTTCTCAATTCATGCTCCCAGGTATGATACATCGGTTCTTCAGGTGGCAGTAGTAACTAATAGTACGTGAAGGAATGTTTATAGTTCCCTACATCCAGCTGGTCTTCGGTGTCGAGGTAGCTTTACGGGGCATGCGCAGCAAGCCGTTCGCTCCGAGAGGCAAGTGGGATGTCAGCATATGCATGGCCATTGTTGGCATGTGCTTGCTCGCGAACTTTCTCGTTGCGGATTTCATTCGAACGAATGACTTTTGCTTCGCCTCTTTATTCTTCTTCGTTAGGAAGTATGCCGTTGGCATCTTCGGAGTCTTGGCTGGCATCACGTCAGTCTTGATTCTTTGCGTGGTATATATCTTCATCAGACTCAGTCGAAGCACTAAAGTCGACTCTACGGAACGAGTCGCTGCATCCCGGATGGTCTATTACCTCGCTCTTGCAATCATTTCTAACGTAAGTCCTGCTCCTGCTTTTGATTGGTGATCATCACTAACCAGTGTAGTCATTCATGATTCCGTTCTTTTTCTTTGTTTCTTTTCTCAACGAACCCGCCGGCGGTTCGCAGGCTCTGAACCTGTCTATGATTGCTTCAGTTGTCGCGAATGTGTCCGGATTGATGACCGGTGGTCTTCATTTATTCCTTCGTTCGAAAACACTCTCTACAATCGGCCCGAAGGACAAAATTGGCGAATATGAACGCCAGAAGCTCAAACATCAGATCAGGGTCCGCGGCCCCAGCGATCCGGATTTTCGCGGCCACATGATGCAACCAGTGTCAACACCACCGCTTCAAAGGACAGACAGTACTGATACATTGATCGAGCGCGAGAAGGAGGGAGATGCTGTATTGGAGTCTCCGTCTAGTATCTACAGCATCATTTCCCGACCGAATCCACTCCGATCAAATGCAGTGTATCCAGTTGCAGGTCTACCTAGATCACCGTCGCCGGTGCAGATGTCGGCTATCACGTCTCCTAGCCATGCTCGGAAACAGTCGTATTCGATCTTCCCCAGCAGCTCAGCAGCTTCTATGAAATCTATGACACTGCTACCAGCGACTACTTACTCGCCAAGTGCAGTAAAACCATCTCGAGATACCCTGAAACCTCCACCTTCAGTGAAGACATTGATGAGTCGACATAGAAGGGACTCGTCGATGGCTTCTTCGGCGACTGTGCAAATTGGTCTCCGACTCTCTTCGGTGGAGGATATGCCACCGATGAATCCAAAATTCAATGACAGTCAGACTCACCTTCTGGATTGTCCGAAGGAAAAGGCGAAGCTCGATTCCCGCCCCAGCCCGTTGGCGCAAGCCGAGACTGCTTCTGTATCCGAAGATGACTATCTTCCAGACGAGTCTCCGCGACGGAGCCCTGTCAAGGATGCGAGAATGAAGACCCTTCCTCCAGTACCGACGAATATCACGGCTGAGATGGAAAAAGAGGATGACTTCAAATTGAGCCCTACAGTATACAGTCCTCGCAGCCCGACAAAAGCTAAGCTGCCTAGCCCCAGGGGTGTCGGGTTTAGTGTCCCGCAAAGATCAAATAGCGCCGGCCCTCCGAGAAGTCCACCACCAGCTCGACGTCGGGCTAACACAGAAACCTCGGTACCACCGACTGACAAGGGCGACTGGATATAAGCCAGCTCACCATCAACCTTGTGCGCTGTGCGTGATAGCATTTTGTGGTGTTTGAGATTTGGGACATTAGACGCTTGCGCTCCTCTCCTCACAAAAGGGAGCCTTGCAATTTGAGGCACGATTTGAGGCGTTTGGATATCAAAGGGGAGTTGGCGTTGAGGAAGAGTGGACACTCATTACATTTTACATACACCTGCCATCAGGCACACTTTTCGTTTCTTTGGTCTACCCGGGGGCTGTACTGATGTACTGAATGCATTCGCGGCGTCGAGACACACTCACTGTGCAGATGAACGTCTGGCCTCTGAGCATTTACTAAGGAGTTTTTTTTCCTTCGTCAACAACGGGGAATGTGTACGTGGTTTCCGAGGGGAGATGGCACGGCTGAGGCTGAAAAAGCTATGTATGGATGGAACGATCGGAGGTCAACAAGACCACTATGTAGCAAGGAATATATGACTTCTCACCCCGGCATTGCTTGTCTCTCGAGGCTGAATTTGAGGTGATTGCTTTAGTAACATTTGACTTTCTGATGTTTCAAATACTGATATGCTTAGAGCAATTTGTCCAATTGAATTCTGTGCACATGTTTCATTTCTTCTTGGCCTGTTCTGCAGCGAACACTTGGTCCTCCCACTTCTCCCACCCAGCTTGGCAGAGATCCTCTCCCACAACCAAGTCGCGGACTCTGAACCATCGCGCAACGGGTTGGTCAACTGCCCAAGCAAGGAGGCCAACTTGCCTTGCCACAGCGGTGATTACAAACCACGCGACGGCGGTCAAGGCTCCTGCCAGACTTCCGACCATCACCTGCTTGCCGGTGTGATAGCATAGATAAACCCTGCTCCAAGCCACAAGACCTGCGAGCACAAGTGCCACGAGGCTGGCAGCTGCTCTCTCGAGCATTGACCATGGCCGATGTGCGTATCTCTCCACGTCCGCAGCCGTCACCCACTGACCATTGCCCTTCACAACGCCGGCTCCACCACCGTTGTCCCTCCTACGAAATCGATGGGTCTTGGCACTAGGTCGGTGGCGCACCAGCAAGAAGAGGGTGAGAGACACGGCCCAGAAGGCGACGAACTGAGCGTGGCTGCTCGGCATGCCATATCCCTTGCCTGTGATCTGGATTTTCGGTGGGCGCTCCTCCTTGATGATACGCTTCAGTATGAAATTGACAGCTTCGCAGCCCAGCTGGCCAGCGAACATGAGGGCGACCTCGGCTTCGCGTGATGACCATATCAGCGTGGCGTAGACTATGCAGAGGGCCTGTGGCACAAGGGCCAGCCAGGCACAGAGGAAGGAGATCGGATCGTTAGGGTCCTGCAAATGTAAAGAGTCGTATTAGCAAATAACAGGCTCTATTTGTGGATTCGGAAAGGTTGACGCGTATGGAGTGAGGCTCAGGTACATGAAAATCAACCAACAAGGCCCGGGCAGAGGTGCGAAAAAAAAAATAAGAGCAGAGTGGAGGGAGGCCTTACATAGTAGACATGTGTAAGAGACAGGGACGCCAAAGGAGTGATGTCGTCCGCCATGACTCCTTGCCTTCTTGTTCTTCGGGACAGACTCAGTTCTTATTTCACGAATTCATATCTTGGTGTGCGTGGAAGCTCGTTCCCAGACGGACATCCAGGGAGTTTTTGGGTTCCCAGCTTTTGTGAATGGAGACAGAGGACGTCACTGTCTCGAATGGCCTAAAACAGAGCTATGGGGTGTGGCAGGTGTGGCGGTGCAGTGGACCTACCTCCAGCATTAGCAGACGCCACACGACAAATTAGTTCCTCCTCAATCTTGTCCATGGCGCTGGATCCTATGCGGCTCCTGGCCCCCAAGCATCCAACTTTAACTAAGCAAGATGGACTGATGTCAAGATAAGCTCATTTTGGTGCTTGAATTTCATAGGGTATCTCTAATCAGACTCAGACTCGCTCGGCTCTTGCTGACCTTCCGCATTCCCTTCTTGCATTTGATTGCCGGCAGCCTGAGCATGCTTTTTCTCTTTGTCCTTCTGTCGCCGTTTAAGTTTCTTTTCTCTGTTGAGCCTCTTTTTCTTCTCCTTCAGATGTTCCTCCTTTGACATTTTCTGTTTCTCTGCAGCAGCTTGCTGCTCTTTCTTAGCCTTGTCCTTAGTTCTTAGCAACACTCTCCGCTTCTTCCCAGGCCGCTTTCTCTTCCTCAATTGCTCTTCCTCCTGAACGGGCAAAGTAGTAAGGCTGTCTGAGCTGCCTCTAGAAAGTGTGCGTGTTTTGCTTTTCGATAAAGTAATTTTCTTGACCCGCCATGGGACCTCCAGTCCCCATGCCCTTGTCTTAGACATAGCATAAATGTCCTCCGCCGTAATGGCTGCTGAAGAGTAACTGGCTCGTTGTTCTGGAGTGAGTTCGCCCGCGAGATAGAAGCTTGCAGGTCTGTTGGGAACAACAAGGCCTCCTTCCTGGTTCTGAAGGGCACTGTCTTCATCGTGCTCGAGGACGACCTTCTGCGGCCCAGTCTTGGCTGTCGAAAAGAGTCGGAACTCAAACTCTTCTTCCTGCTCCTCAATGGGGTCTGCAGCATGCGATGCAGCCGCTATCGAGTCGTCTCCAGCTTCCCTCTCTGACATAGGCTCAGCAAAGTCTACTGCGAAGAGACTTGATAACTGCGCATTGAGCTTTGCGCGCATCGCTTCATCTTCCACTGCATCATTTGAAAGGCCCTCGTCGTCAGAAGCTGAGTCGTAGAGAGTATCCCTCCTCACCCTATGATTTTTCGTTTAGCCATGATAACACAGCACCGCGTGCAGAGGGGCGCCGTCTCACCTTTTCGCATCTGGAAGCTCGAACATGATAGATATCTAGCACTTTCCTATCCGGTGTAGAAGTGCCGAGCGCCAACCAGCCCCCTGAGCAGGTATGGAAGCCACGTCTAGTCCGGCAGATGGCGATATCAAGAATGAGGTGGTATCGGTCGAACCCAAAAAGGTAGCTATTAAGAATTTGGGGGGGACCAAATCTAGCGGGGCAGGCGGAGCCGGCAACCTGGCCGCACAACACCTGGGGACCAGCTGGCAGCTTCGGTACAAGTCAAGGCCTCAGGTCTAGCCCCCAAATACTACACTTAGCTGCTGACGATCACTGATTTGGGTGCCATTGTGCAATGCCGATTGCAACAGTAACTCCCCTGATTCCCGTCTCCCGTTCCGTTCATTTTTGTGGGATTCGGCTGGAGATATTTTGAGCCTCATCTTGTGTTTCATGGAGCACTCAAGACATGGTCACACAACCATACTCAATTTCTGCATTTCCTTGCAATTCTGATCATTTTCTAGACATCATCGATGTATATGTATTTATGTACGTAGGACACTGCTTCGAAATGTGAATGGTATATATACCCTTAGACTCGTTGCGCTAAATGCCTTGTCGGAATTGGGCTGGATTGGATACGGGCTGAAATGAGGCTTTTGGGAGCTCGATGGTCGTCCTAGGTTCAGGCGCCATCGTTCAAGTCTAACCCCAGATCATCTAAGAGCAGGTTTCAGCTCTGCCCTCAAATAGCCGGAGCGACCTGAATCCTCCGAGGAATCCAGCTTTCGCAGCTGCAAACGTAGCGTCTTAAGACGGTGTGATGGGGGGAATAGAAATAAATAGAGCCCATTCCTCATGTTCCGTTTTGGCTGCCTTCTGCTGTTTTGCACGGCAGTGGGTGCTCTCTCTCATCTCTCTTCAGACATTCATGCCACACTTCTTCACATCACAACAATTGCCAGCCGCCAACTCCTCCGCACAAGTCTGATTCCTCAAAATCCCATCTGTTCCTCCAATCATGGAAAAAATGTGCATTGTGTGGTATCGGGGGTTACAATGATGCTCCAAACAATCATCCCCTTGAAACTACACCAACAGGAACAGTCAACTCCATCTGTGCGCCAATTCTCCAAGGTGATCTTCCTGTCCAAGCTCTTATACTCTGGATGCCGGTTGAAGTTAAGCGGATCTCTCCACTGGAAACATACAGAAAGAAGTAATACCAGCTCGACCTGGATAAACACTCTGGTCCACAAATGCTCGCGTTGCTGGAGCAAATATCGCAAATGGAAGGCGTCAAACTCGTGGTAAATGAAGCTCGGCCGTCAAAACAGAAATGTATGTATGTATGAAGAAGAAACCGCAGTGTGTTGTTGGTACAAATTCGACGTCCTTGTCGAGTTCGGGTTTGTTCCTCCTTATTCATTCATGCCATCACAGAGCTTGGGGATGGTGTCTGTACCGCTCGACTGGCATAGAAAGTCAACTTTCCGCCTTCGATAATCTTCAGCCGCTTGCTCAAGCTAAGTCGTGTTCCACGAATAGTGGTTCATCGCATCGAAGGACCCTCGTGAGCCTTGGTAAGTTGGCGGTGGCGGATGCTCGCTCTTTACAGTAGCCTTGTATTGATCATGGATACTGTATGATCGATGATCGCCATTCGTATAGGTCGGGGCGTTGGGCTCTCCTGCCGTGGTCGTCCACGAGGTTGAGGGCGGGAAATAGTCCCTAGGCGGTGGACCTGTCGTGGTTGTAGACGACACAGCTGTCGCTGCGTTGTCATGAGGTCCATGCCCGCCATACAGCGGAGGTTGTGACGTCTGTGGGCTAACGTCATTCGGATTACTATTAATCGCCCCGTAGGGCGGGCCGAAGCGGTACTCGTTTGGAGAGTCGGTGTTCGTCAGGGAGCTGGTGCTATGTACAGATTGGTGGCTCGCATGTCGAGGACTCTTTGAGGGCCGTGGATTACTCTCGTCAATATAACGAGGTACATTTAAGGTGTTACTCGTTGTCGCCGAGATGGAAAGGTGCGGAGGTGCTGTTGTCCCATGCACATAGGCTGCATATTGTGTCCGGGGCTGATCGTTGGCTGCTAGGGATAGTTGCACAGACGGCATCGACGTCTGCATCTGGGGCATCTCCTGGGGTTCGGCCGTGAAGCTAGGGGCTCCAGACAACGGCATCTTCTGGTACTGATCTGAAGCCATCGTCGTGGCTGGATAGTTCCCCGGTCCCGAGGCTGGGATCTGCGAAAGCGAAGGATTCCATGTCGCCGGATATGAACTACGACTTTGTTAGTATGCGCCTTCATGACACAGCTAAAGCGCTGGAACCGCGAGATCCGTGTTCCCTGGCAGGTGCCAATGGAGGAGTAAAAGGAGCAGCTGAGTCAGTAAAGGAAACACGTACTTGGATCGCATCGTCAACGGGCTCGTTGGCATTTTCGGCGCGCTGAAAGTGAACGCCGTTCGGGGGAGTTCGAGGTTCAAAGGTCTTGCCTTTGCTTCTTGCGGCTTGATGGCTAATGGGCCCGCAACAATTCCGAGTCCTGTCTCTACGAGAGCCTGCCCTCGAGAGCCTGCGCTTGATCCCAGAAGGGGAATCTCTTTCCTGGCCTGAAAGTTTCGCGGACTTCGGCCTCGTACCACGATTGGGGCCGTGGTAGCTTCTGTCAAGACAATCTTTGACCCATTTGATAGAGTACCCATAACTTTCAAATGCAATACGAAATGTTGTTGCAACTCTTTGCGCCTTCCGTTATTGGCCGTCGCTCTGAGGTGAGTGTTCTTAGTAACGTCCGAAGCGCGGAAACCCAAGCATAACTTACATGCGAAACTGCAACCGCCGCCATCCGATAGGATACACAGCATACTCACCATCGGAATCCGACCCATCTTCCTGAAAGGGAATGAGAGGTAGTGACGGAGGCTCTTGATCGGGAGCTTGGTTGACCTCGGGCGAGTTTGGTGGAGGTGTCTTCCAGGGAATGACAATCAGACGTACCGGATGGCCGTCGACTGACTCTATCGCAGAGATGGTCACCTCGGTGTTACTGACAGGCATATTCTCTCCAGTTTCCGTGATTATGGATAGCTGACCGCGAGGCGTGATTAACGATCCGCTGATCTGGAAGAGATTCCGTCGGTAGCAGGTCAGCTCTGGTTGGAGAATCGAGCCATCACCGGCATTGGATGGCATCTCCGAGAGAAAAAACATTCCGTGCAACTGGGCAGAGAGTTCTAGCTGCTGCATTCTGCCATGATGATCGACAATTGTGTGCTTATCCTGCACCTTTCTGAAGGACAAGAGTTTGTGGTCGTGGTTTACGCTTAGTTTGGAGCCATCGTCCCGGAGATCCTGAACGATTTCCTGGTAAGGAGGTTGTTCCGTTGCAGAGTACGGTCTCTTCAGATTAGGGAAACTGTGGTGCGTCGACAAGGAGGGATGTTGATGTCTCTCATACGCGTCGGTCTCGTCCTGGGAGTATCTATTGTATGGATACGGATGGTGGTCTACACTCCAGCCCGGATGACTGCTCCGTGGTCGTCCTGCATGAGGTGATGCCGTTGAAGGGTTTGGGAGGCCGGCATCCACGCCGTGACTAGAGCGGCCTGACGCCATCTGAACTGGACTCCCATACCAAAGACTGTTGTGCGCCGGCTCCTTCAACTCTGCCATGGTTACCGAATATGTTGTGGTGGACATGGGAACATATCTCCCAGGGCCAGCAAAATCTCAGGTGCCCTTGATATTGCCAAAAGTTCACTGCGTCCACCGATGCTGATATATATAGATATATAGCTCAAAGCCCAGCTCTTCACGCGAGCGTATCCAGAGAGAGTTGCTGTTGTGGCGTCGAATCTGGCACTGAAACAGAAACAAAGAGATGCCAGAACCAACTTGATACTTGAAGCGAGGACGAAGTTAGGATAGAGTGGATGTTGGCCTGCTTAGGTTGCAGGACCAGGTGTACTTGTATGAAATGATACGGTAGATGTGGAGGGGGGTGTTTTATGAAAGGCTTCGGCACTGTCCCTGGGGTGGATCAAGGGTAGATGGGGGAACAAGCACGGAGGGTAACGGCCAAGGTCAAGGTATCAAGGGTACTGGTAGTGGACTTTTAGTGCAAAGTTGCATACTGGAGTGCAGTACATGCAACCATACAGGGAAGGAGATGGAGGAAACGGGGCGATCTGGCAG